GCAATGGATCTCTCTCTGAAAGAAAAATGTTTCACCAATAGAATTCGATTGGCTCCGAGTGAAAATAAGATGCTTATCTTGCATAATTGAAGTCATAAAACACTTGTTTCTCACCTCGCTGCTGGCGCAAATGTTGACTTAAATTACCATTCTCGATGAACTCATAGACCAAGAATAAGGAACCTTCAACACAGTATCCTATTAAACGCACCTGCATGAGATTTTGATATGCAGTCGCATAAATGTTCATGATCACATTGATCAGATGATCAAAGACTACTTGAAATATCATTTGAGGAGAAACAAATAACTACCAATCAAAGAAGAGTGAATTCTAAATGATGTCATAGTTCTACCAGTGCCATTGGTATAAGTAAACTGTTGTCCAAATAAGGTATAAGAGGAGGCATATGGAAGGCAGAATACCAGGTTCAAGTGATGAACATGTGTTAAAACCTTCAATTCAGCAAGGAATTCCTTTGATGCTTGCATATCCATCTTCTTGATTGCGGTTTTCTGCATGACAGGAGAAAAGTTGGATTCATGATGGGGCACACTTAGTTTGCAGGTTTAAACATGATGATCCCTACAATAATAATCCTCATATCATGATCTAGGATTCTCTAAAATGGAAACTTAGGACAAGGTACCTCGCCTCTTAGTTCTGCAAGGTAAACAGAACCAAAGCCTCCTTGCCCGATCTTATTAGCAATGCTAAAGTCATCCGTTGCCTTGGCAAGCTCTTCATATGAGAACTCCACAGATTTGTCCACTGTGATACCAGTGAGGCCTGGAGAAGCAAAAAGAGCAGTGGTTTCGGAATTTTTCTGCAGGGTACTTCCGGAACCTAAATCATCAAGACCACAGGATACAGAAGATTGATCGCTAATGAGATGCAAATTTCAAGCTTGAATTTAGTTGTCCATTTTAGAATTCAATGTTTTCACAAGAACTATGCAATTGCAAAGATACTCATAGTAAACGCTTCTGCAAAGAAATCATTTGTCTGCCCATCAAAACCTGACATTTGACAACAACCTTAAATAATGGCTACAGTTAAACTATTGCCTCAGCGTTATTTTCAGGTAACTTGTCCCTCCTAGCTACCTCACATAATTAACTTACTTCCCCAGTTCAAAGCAACTTTAGCTTAGAATATGCAGCAACTGAATATAAAGAGAGAAAGCTCACACCTCCATGTTGAATGTAGTGGTCTGGGGATGCTTCTAGGAGTAATGATGCTTCCACCCCTTTCTTCCTTTTGTAAAGGCCAGCATATATACAAAATCCCAAAGTTAAAGCCCCAGCAACTCCTGCAATAGATATGCCAGCGATAACTCTACTCGAGATTCCTGGTTCAAATGCCACAAGTTAAGCTCAAGACAACATCATGAGCATCCTTGACAAGCATGCTTAAGAAAATCAAGGCAAGAGGCTTGAACATTAATAACTAATACGTAGAGACTGATCCTACCAGTTGTGCTGCAAGACAGAAAAATCAGAACAACAGATAGAGTCATTAGATGAACTGAATAAATGGTCATATTAGCATTACAATTCAGTCAGGCGAGACATGAAATACCATCTAATACCTGATCTTCAATGGTGGAAAGTTTCCAGTTTGGTCTGCGAAGGAACAAAACGCCAGGCTTATTAATGAAAACCATCTTATGATCAGAATAATACTCATTAATGTTATGACAGAAGAATCTCCACTATATTTCATAAAAGAGATACAAAGAACAAGAATTTGGCAATCGAAAATACAATATAATATTCCAACATCATCTTCTGACAGGCCAGAATATTTTAGAATCTTTGGATAAAGACATAAATGATAATTCAAAGAGCAGCGTTTTTTTTCTCCTACTGTTGTGCATAAATTAACTAATATCTGTATATATTTAAGAACCCCCTGTTAATAAAGTCATTTGCAGGGGTAATTTTTCCATAGATTTCACTATCTGTTAACAAGGATTGGGCCACCACATTGAAAGTGATTATCGCATCATTACCAAACCATGTCATGATTGATTAAGGGAATTGTTCTTATTCAGTAACGGGAACAATGCATTAAAAAATAACTATAATAACTAATGATTGGAAGGCGACAAAGCAACCCCGATCAGTGATTTTCTCTCTCTGTAAACTCCTGAGTACTGTGGTTTCGTTGATTGAAAAACTTTAAAAAAGATTAATTAAGTTTAGACCATTATTAAATCTATCTTTGTTATGATTGAAATCTAATCAAGTAATGCAACATTCATGTACTTGTATGTATGTATATACGTACGGATCGAAATATTTTATCTGCCCAGAACATGACAAAGTGCCGAGACTCATGCGGTAGAACAAGAGAAAGTGTCAAAACTCTGAAGAACTCATTCCGTGTTGACAAGGCCCAGTGGCCAAGTGGCAAAGTGATCAGAATTTCTCCATATGACACAAAAATGCATGAAAAGCTTTGAAAATTGACAAACCTTTTGCCGGCACAAACAGGAGTCCAGTCCCCGCACTGAAATTGGACCCTGGATTGTACTTTTCCAGCAGCTCCGCAGATACGTTGGCCTCCGCTGCAATGAACGATAAATTCTCACCTGGACGGAGAGGATACGTCGTGAACAACCCGTAATCTTTCGAGACTTGTCTAACACCACATGAACAATTAACCGTAACATTGATCAGCTTGTGATCAGGTATTTCCGTTGCATCATAAACGTTCACCCTACGCATCCAATCCTTCGTGGTCAGGTTAGCATACCAGTCGCTAGCAATCTTGTCGTAAGTATCACCAACCTGGGTGAAGTAACTAAAGGTGTGACCCCAAAAATCTCCGTTCAAGCAATCGCAAGAAAAGGGTACGTTGATCCTGGTCCCGGTATCAATTTTATCCTGACTTGAAACATGGGGATTGTACAGAAGTATCTCGGAGATTTGCTGGTTAAAGATGGTGCTAATGTATGTGAGGTTTGATCCTTCCCATACGTAATAAGAAGCAAAGGCAAAGCTGCAGCCAGTCCTACAGTTGGCTTGGACTTGGATGAATAAGTATAGAAGAGTATGAAATACTAGCAAGAGTTCTGTTGGTGTTTTCTTTTTCGAGAACATGACCACTTTGTAAGAGAGAAAGATGATCCGTTTGGGGTTTTGGAGATCATCAGAGATGGCAGAAGAACAAGAGGCGAATGGGATTTGTTGGTTTTGGGTGTTTGATATCTACCATGTAGGCATATGACAGCTTGGTTTTTTGTTTGCTCTTGAATGTGGACCAAAGGAATTTAAGTATTTTTTTTCAGCTTTGTCTATGTATCGTTTTCCTTTGAATTCTTAAAACCATGCTATTACTGTCAAAACCAAGTCACGTTACCCTTTTTTTCCATTTTTTCATTTTTCATCCCTTCTGCTACGATTTGGGTCAGCACTCAGGAGTCAAACCCAATAAGGGGATGGGTCCTGACAGATTGGTTATCTGATTGTTCTGCCTAGACAAGTGACCTTTCTATGCCACTGCATATGATAAAGAAGTGTTCTTTCCACGTGTAGATTGGTAGATATTTTGGCAGTGAACTGAAGATATTTCAGTTCAAAACAGAGGTTTCAGGCTTTTAAGTTGGGTACTACCGCCAAAATAAGAAGAGAGCTTATCCCAAAATCAAAGAAGCGACCCCAGAAGTCTAATCATTCGTCACAGTTCGATATATCCATCATCCATGGAAACCCTCGCTGTTCTACCACTCGCTTGGCCCTCCTTTTTCCCTTCAAAACCAATGAACAAGGATGCGGGTTTTCCTTCTTGGCCATGCAAACAAAGAAGCTCCTACTCTTCCACCCGCTTAAACTGCCAAAAAATGTATGTCCCTGGTAAGTATTCCTTCCTCAAATCCTTTCTCTGTACGTGTGCATTCTTGCCCAAGGTTGTCTTTTTCCTCTCTTTCGTAGCTCTCTCGTGATGAGAGTCTTTATGAAGGATTTGGAGAGGCATCACCAGAGGCCAAAGCAAGCAAAAACCTCCACAATTTCTTCAACTACATAGCAGTTAAGATAGTCAGTGCACAGCTTCAGGTTCTTTTCTCCCTATGTTGGTTATCCTCTTCTCTATTTAGATGATTTCAATCTCGTAATAACCCGTCGATTTTTCCGGGGCAGAGCTATAATCCTGAAGCTTATAAGGAGCTGATGGAATTCCTGAATACCCACTCGCTGAATGATGGGGACAAGTTCTGCGCCAGCCTGATGAGGGAATCCTCAAGGCATAAAGGTCTAGGTAAGACTGCATGCTGCGCGTCCTACGAGTCAGAAAATGTTCCATATTCTTCATATGTTTCCAGAATTTGACTTTTAATTAATGAGTTTGGTTTTCCATTTGCAATCACTTGACAGCCCTGCGAATCCTAGAGGTATGTTGCTGCAAAATTCTTCTTTTGTCTTCTACTTAATTCCTGCTTTGATTTGATAAAGCTGTGTTATGTTTCTCACAGGTCCGATCTGCATATTGCAAGCATGATTTCGAGTGGGACAACCTGAAGCGCTTAGCTTCCAAGGTCAGAAAACCATTTTCTTTCTCTTTTGATATCATTCTCGTCCCTGTTGATTGGTTCAAGAATAGTCGGGGTTTCTTTTTTTTTCAGATGGTGGATGAATCCAACACGAAACTCATGAGGGAATATGTTTTAGAAACCAGTCCTGCAACTGAAAAAGAAACCGGCAAGTGATCGGAACTCTCTACTCCGGGCTCATCCAGGCGTGGGTGGCAGTTCGGATTTAGGAACCATTCCATGGAATTTATATACAGAACCAGATTTTTGTATTTGGAATATCCGGTATAATATATTGAAAGAATCAAAATACGTATAGAAGTATTAGCTCATCCAGGCATTCCGTAGAATCATATACAGAACCAGATTATTGTATTTGGAATAGCTGGTATAATAGATAGAAAGAATCAAAATACATATAGAAGTATTATTTAATTTGAGGAAAAAAGATTCAAAACTTGTTCTTTTTGCCTTTTAAGTAAAAAAATTATACATTAATCACTGAATTAAATGTTCGAATGTTTATAGAGGATAAAAGTGTGTGAGTAATATCTACATTTTCTGAAGAACAGAAAATTGTAAACTCGAATACGCAGGTAGCAACAGCAAGTATCTTTCTACATATCTTAGACAATCATAAGAAATAAGTATATAATAAGTTGGTGGCTGTAAAACCTACTTGCAATCTCCTGCGATCATCCTAATTTGTGCTTGATTCATTTTCCGTCAATGGCTGGAACCATAGCAATAGCAAAATCAAGCATGGAGGTACATGTAAGATCACCACTATTTAACAGATCAATGATTATCCATAAACAGCAAAAGTTAACATTCTTGAATGCTTTTCTTAAATACCTGAACATATCGTCTCACATCAGAGGAAGAATGGATATGGCCTAAGCTGAAGTATGAGTGAGCATATTCTTCAATAGTCTCTGGCCTGCAGGTCATCATTTAGGGTAACTATGCTGCTTAGGGAGGGAAATTCTAATAAAGTTAGAAACAAGATTTTGTTACGAAACTGTAGAAGTTCATTACAGATCCAATTTGCACGTCTCTTGAGAAGCAATCGAATTGGGCAATAATAAATTGGGAAGTACCATGAGAGAAATTATAAGTTTCTTCATCAAATGAGGTGAAATTTTTCCTAAAAAAGAAAAAGACTGATAAATAAAGGCGGGTTGTGACGGAAAAATTACCTGTAGACATAGTTTACCATGATTCCTGCACTTTGGCGTAGGCCTTTTTCTGATCGGTCAGCCATCCAGTTTATTCTTTGAACCATCTGTTCCATATTTTTAAGTTATTAGAATCTGACAGTACAAATCAGTACTTGGATGAGAGAGAGGAATTCGCATCTTCAAGAACATCTGCTCCCTTGGTTCCCAATTGTTTAATCCGTTAGTGCAGCTAATTTTGTATTATAAAAATAGCATATCACTTATATAATCAATCTTTGCACCTAAAGAGATGACCTTTCCGAAAGAAAAGCCCTCGTGAAACTATTTAAGTAGTATGGAGAAAGATCTAGAAACTATGGATTCTGCCGCCAAAAGGACTTTGCTGATCTATGATTGAAACTGCATTACATACCGCTCCATTTTGCAGATGGAAGTTTGCAACAGAATCTAGAGCTTTTCCTCTCTTTTTCTCTTGCAGAAGGTACCTAATTTTGAACAATCAGCATCAATTAATTTTACCTAAAGAAACACAAGCTCCATATATTAAGTATAGAACCAATTAATTTGACTTCCTCCAGTTCAATAAGTTTCCATGTTTCTGTTCCTTGTACAACAAGAATTAAAGAAATTAAAGTTGAGGCTACTTGGTCAAGATAATAGACAGCAATTTTATTGGAGAAATATACCTCGCACATAGCCGCATTAAAGCTGGTTTTAATGCTGAAAGCAATTTCGAGGAATTAGTCCAATCATGACTTGTAGGTGTCAGCAAGTTCAACATTATTTCCATGCCGTTTTTTCCAGCAGCAAAATCCCTGTTACAGATAATTCCAATATGCAGACTCCATAAATCACATTTCAGGAGCACAAGACTGAAATATGAGAAAGCCTAAATAGAGTAATACGTGATGAAGAAAGTATCTATCCATATTCATCGGTTGAAAACTTCTTGAAAAAGCAATAAGTATGCAAGGTTGAACAACAGTACGAAAAAATAAGAAATGTTCTGGCGATGACAGGCTTTTGATCAATAAGGTCAGGAAATACAGACTAATGATAAATCGAACATACATGTTAACCAAATCCACCATAATATAGTTCCAAAATATTGATCTTCCCTCTATTTAAGTAGTAACGTTTCAAAAAATAATCTGAGTGTTGGACTAACACAGATTTTTCATGGAAAGCAATGAATCAATGGCTCATAAAATTTTCACAACTCAATGTGCTTTATTGTCACTCTATTACCTAAGAACCACAACAGTCACAAATAGGAGAAAATTATGTGTAGGACAGCGCTTTGTTTTGTCAACAGCAGATGAGTCAACTTCTAGTAAAAGCAACATTCCAGAAGGCATGGAGAATGATTTGGAAACTGTTGATCTTCAGAAAATTCCCTTCACACTCACACACACACACACATATCTGAATGAACACATATGAAGCTTACCCAGATGATTCTATGAGTCTTCTTTCTTCTTCTGGTTCAAGTACATTTTCATAGAAAGTTAATCCAGATCTATCAGCTGACGAACATGATATATCCTCTGCTTCAGCAAGTTTCGATTGAGATGCCAACTTGGACAGAAGCCACTGCATGAATCCAGGGATAGGACTAAGCGTAGCGAACACCTATGCAGTAAGTGGAAAAGAAGTGTCAGTAAGCATGTTCTGAACCAAGACTTTCAGATAAATAAACAGTAAAATACATGTGACTGTCAAATATTCGATAATATACATGTATCTTGAGTTGCAGATGCAACATAGTGCACTGATCGTCCTGTATGATGCCATATTATATTATCTAAAACCTATTGAAATTCCTATTGTGTTCAAGATTGAACAAAGGCAACATATTAACTCATAATGCAAAGAGTTCAGTATAACCACCATTTTCCAAAATTAAAAGAAAAAAAAGAAACTAATTACTAAGAGAATTCTCACTGAACATGCCAAAAATAATCTTGCAGCTCATTTGATTAAGTAATCTGATAAGAAAAAGGAGTACTTACAGAAATATGTGGCATATCTCTTCTCACCAATGTAATAACCCTTTTAATAAGAAACTTTCCTAGGTTGATTCCTGCCAAGCCAGGCTGCAAAAAGTCAGAAGTAGGAAGTCAGGTTCATGGAAACAGAATATCAAAATTTAACTAGGAATAGTTAATTAGTACAAGTAACTAGACTGTATTATCAATACACCATACAACCAGCTGCCCTGATATCATTCTGTATGTTTCCTGTAGTTAATATCCTTTACAAATAAAATGGGTGGTGGGGAGGGGGGGAGGAGAAACTTAGTACCTGAGTTGATGATATGGAGTAAAATAACGCACATGTTGCCTCACTTTCAAGAATGGGAGGGTGATCCCACAAAACTTCCTATCATTCACAAGAATATTAAGAACAAGAAGACAAAGAGGAAAAGGAGTCTGGTACAGTTAAAGAAAATTAACCTGTATTGTCTGTGCTACAGCCTTCAAAAGTGCAACTTCAATAAAAATAAGGGGTTCACCTGAAATAGAGAACAGTTAGAGACAGAGAGAGAGAAAGAGAAGAGGAAAGATGGATTAAAGGCTAGTAAACATATTCCCCCTGTCCAAACATACACAAAACACACCAGACAAACAATGAAAGGAACTGGTTACCAGGTATGGCTGAATGAAAATATCCAAAACAACGACGACCAACTCCCAGCCTTCTCTTAAGATCGATAAGGTTGCTGATTGGATGCACTGCCTGGACAAATTATGGTTACTAGATAATACACAGACCACACCTTGCAAAATCTATATCCATGAGAGGTTAAACCTCATAAGGAAGAGGGAGAAGAAAAACAAACCTCATAAGCCACAATTTTCTCCAGCAAAGAAGCAGGATCATCCCATGTAATCTGATGGAGCTCTAAAGCAGCAGGACTAAGCCAAGTACTAAGCTTCTCCTTTAGATAGGAATCTAATGCTCGCAATGAGGAAATATTTTCTGCTCTGAAATTTACAAAAATTTCAGCTTCTTGTGTGCATTTCTTTTAAATAAGTTTCAATTCTTCAATAAATTAATATACAACTGAGTTTTGAATACTCAACAAGCAACAACACTAACCATAAACCGTATAAAGAAAATTTGTAAAAATTCAGATCTTCGACCTTTTCAACCTTCTAACATTCCAATTCCAAAAACCAATCCTGTTCATGGTCAAGGATTTTATAAAGAGGCAACTATAAATTATCCAACATAGCACTTCAATGAAGGTATTGATGTAGTCATAGCATCACCTAAACCTCCCACCGAAACAAAAGATGTAAAAAGGTGAAAAAAGGAAAACTATATTAGTGCTTACTTTCTTTGCAAGAACCGTGAGGCTCCATCCTATAAGAGCTATTAGCTAAACTCCACTCAAAGGAGAACAAGATCAATGCCCAAATGATGGACTATGATACAAGATATCTCATGCCCTTAGGAAGCTCCAAAGAACTTTAGTATGAGATCTTTCTTGATGACTTTGTATAAGAAATTAGATGTTAAAAACCACCTGAGCTAAAGATTTCTGTAACATACTTTCAACTATTGATAAAAGCAGGTAAGATAAATGTAAGAATATGATGATCAAATCAAGATAAATTAAGGTGGAAACAAATAAAAGGACTATAACCTTACGCAAGAATAGATAATATATCAGCCCGAAGGATGGTCAAAACCTTCAGCCCTCCAGGGTGCGTGTTGAGTCGCTCAAAGAGAACTTCATACACTGGCTTAAGAGAATGTCTCAAATTTCTCTCTATGCGATAGAAAGTTGAAAGAAAGCCTTCATCTTCAACCCCTCCCGATTGAGCTTCATTCCCTGAAACAAGAAACCTCTACACCACTCAACTCCACTAAACATGAAAATAAGTGTTCAAACAATGAAAACATATTCAGGTGAAATACCAACAGTAAACTTACCACCAGGTAGCTGAAGTCCTAGATATTGTTTTATGAGTTCACGGACTTGAGTCCTATTTAGATCATACTCTTTGGCAAGCGTCAGCAATAATTTGCGGCGGTTCTCGAAAGAAAGACTAAAATAGCCCTGCATTATACCACATAACATTGTCAAGCACCAACAGAAACACGAGAACTCAAAGATAATCACTAATCGCTTATCGCCTAATTCTTCACCTCCGAAAAATCATTAAGTACAGCATCAAGAACTTCTGTTTTATTCATTGATATAGCTGAGTGCATTGATTCTCGTACAACCTCAAACGACCTAGTTAACAACAAAAAAAGAATCCGAAACTTAAACTTCAAGCATTCTCACTTAAGATTGTATGCCGTGAATACTTCGCAAGAAATAAAGACCTTTGTTTATTGAGCTTTTCATTTCCATCTTCAGTATTACGCGGTGCTTGGTTTCCTTGAGAATTGGATAGCATCTGATTAACCTCATTCTGTTGTGAAATTAATTCAAACTAAATCAGCAAATTCTCCTATCTCTAATCACAAATTCATTAATCTCGTGATTAATGCAATATTAAATAGTTAATCAAACAATTCAACCAAACAGAGTACGATCAATCAAACAAGAAAAATTCAAATTAATAATAAAAAAGAAAAAGAAAAAACTTACAGATAGAGGAGAAAGGGCGAGCTTGCTTGGATCGTTGGGTCTCATTCTGGCTCGCATCAAAATGGCCAAGGCTTTCTTGTTCATTTCAATTATATACAAAATTAAATAAAAAATTTAATTTAATTACCATAAACGTTTAGTTTCCGCTTTGTCTGTCCTCACGTCGTTTTCCTCGAACCGCTTGACTCTTCCCGGCCAGAAACTCAGAGAAAGTGAAGGCGGACGCATGTTTTACCCGTTTGAAATCCTGGAAACGACAGCGTTTAGGACAGACGAATTCATACATCGTATTCAAGCAAAACGAAAACGGTCCAAAAATTTCGCCCGCTTAAAAAGAAAGATCAGAGAGGGAAAAAACAAAAACCCGCGAAAGATTAAAAAAAAAATTTACCGCAATCCTCCTAAGGTAAAAAGTAAAATATTAATTGATGTCCACACCAACGAATTCAAGAGAGTATTTCACATGATTTAATTTGATGGATAATGTTTAATTAATTCTTTCAACGTGCGAGAACTAGTGACACGGTCTTGTCTACAAGCAAAAACTTCCTTGGATCCATCACTTTGTGTCCCAGACAATCAATTAGTAATTAATTGTGTCCCAAACAGTCAATTAGGTATAATAATTAATACCTATAACAGAACATTAATCGAATCAATATGTATTAAATATGTTTTTTAATTGAGAGAAAATGATATAAAATACGAAATCATTCACTAATCAACTAATATATTAAATATTTAAGTATTTGAAAGAAATATTTTAAATACATCATATATAGTTTATAATTGAAATTAATATACATCAATGTGAATTATTTTCAATTTACATAATTTGATTTTTAAAATTTTAAAATCAAATTATTTAATATTTATTTTGTCGGCTAACATGTTCAATCAGGAATTATAAGTTTGGGCCACAAGGCATTTGGGGTTTGCTTGACTGTTGAGCATAGATATGCACCCATTTGATTGATGGGCCACGCTGTTCATAATAAATTGGGGGAGGCTTTAAATCTTTTGCAGAATTTTCTCTTTATTTGTCAAATGTCAACTATAAAAAGGAGCTTTCGTTCCTTTTTTTTTTTTCTGTTTCTTTTTTACCGTTACGCCTTGTGTGGGTTCGGTGAGGTATGGAGTCGTTGAACCTAACGGTTAAGAATTTTGCTTTACAAGCTAGCCTCATAAAGTTTACCATGACCACTTGGTCCATACCCCATATGTTTTCAAATGAATAGGATTGACTTAGACAGTCACCTCCTACTTCTTTTAATATAGTATTTAAAATTTTACTTTAATTCAATAAATTATAATAAATAATGACATCACATCACGTAATCAAATAATTATTTTTTTTTATTTTTTGGCATATGCATGTCTATAATAAAATATTTAAATGTATAAAAAAGAAATATATATATATTTATATGTCAACAACAAGAACCACCTCCCCCCCCCCCCCCCTTCCCCCTCTTACTTGGCATCCTCAATTTGAGTAATACTTAATTAATTAATTCATCCACGCTTTTTCGGCGTGGGTAATCCGTTCTGCTGATATTTACTAAACTTTCAAGGACAAATAATGCTTAAACTCGCGGTAGCTAGTTAGTGCTTTGAGTCAATCATGCACGAGAATCTGATATTCCAAGAAGCCAGCTTTTGTGTACCTCACTATAAGATTGGCCCTCATGTGCTCTACTGTTAATCCATATCTTACTTATAATCCAAGGAAATGACAAAACCCAAAGTGGATCGCATTTCACAACTGGTTTGGATTCTTTGCTTCCTTTCCATCTACTTTTCAAATCTTTACATTATAATTCTTTGTTCCCTTATACCCTATGAAATTTACAAAAAATAAATTAAATTAAAAAACAAAAACATAAATTACACGTAACATTATTTTTAATTAGTACTTTATGAAGAACTTTTATTTTGACAGAAAATTAAACTGTTAAATGTTTTAATAAAATTATAAAAAAACCCTCAAACGTCAATAAATAGATTAATTTTAAATTAAAAGTATTTTAATAATTTTATTAAGTAAAATTATTAGTCTAATTCTTTATAAGAACATAAATTATCTACATAATACAAAATACAAATTTAAAAAATTAAAGAACCATAAAATGTTGTGTGAGAAAATTTAAAATCAAGAGAAATATAAGTAAAGTTTACTCTGAAAATTTCTCTAACGATTAAAATGTAAAAATTCTTTTACCTTGCGTCTTCTGCTAAATACAATAGATGAAAGTTCGGTTTTTTTTTTTAATTAGTCTTTTTGCTTAAAATTGGAATGTGAAGGTTATTACGTTTTCCTAGTCCACTTTCTGTCTTATGCGAAAATTAGACTACAAGAATTCCATTTTCTATAAGTAACTTAGTCCGACAAAAATTGAAGATTCTTAAGCTTTCCTAAATCCTAATGCATGTTAGCTTTAAACCAAGCAATAATTAAACATTAAGCAATTTAATGATTTTCTTTTTTTTTAATGCTGGACTTTGAAAAACACGGTTCAACAAATTGAGTCGCATTAATTAAATTTCTTCAAGATTAAACTATATATTAAAACTAATAAATCATTCCATTCCTATGATTAATTTTTATAAAATTATGAAATAGACCCATGGGAAGACAAAAGGGATTTGGACGTCCCAAATCTAGTATATGGACAAAACTTGAACCACATGTATTTTATGGGACCGAGTGGATCAAAGTCGGTGGCCAATTGTGCACCAAAGATGGTAAACAAATTGACGAGACGGGAGGCCCAATGCCGACGGGGTTCCCATCTTTTTCCCAGCCAGCATGCTGCTGCCCTGCATTGTATATCGTTGACCCACCGGCTTTCTTGACCAACCTACTCCATTCTTTTTTCCATTTTTTCTTTGATTTTGGACTTTGTCTCCTTTTATGGATTTTTTTTTTTAAATTTTAGAACATATTTTAATTTTGATTTAATATTTTAAAATATATATAAATTATTTAAAAACTTTTTATTAATATAATATAATCAATTAAAATTTTATATTTTTATTATAAATCAAATAAACTCTTATACTTAATAACTTATTTACTAAAAATGATACTTATTTTTTTATTTTATATAATACTAACGTATATATTGATATATTATAATACATAATAACATAACATGTTAATATGTCATAATAATACGATCATATAATTTTTTTAAATTTTTATATTAACACCATGTAAATATATATTTAATAAGACATATTTGTAAATATAATAAAAACAATTCACTTCCTTAGTACCGGGTGAAATCTTTCCACGGCAAATTGTTTACAAGGAGGTCAATTATTTGTGGATCTGGGGAGTGAACGGAGGAACCAAACGTGCATGTTCACTAAGTGGGATTGTTCCCTTATTTTTTATGCGGTTGAAGGAATCTAAGACAGATCACGGGCAGCATGTTGCTTTCTCATTCGGCCAAATATGGAATAAAATTTACAAGTCGTTACAAGTCATCTCGATTCTTCAAGACCTTTGTAATTCAATTTGTCTGAGGAAAATCACATTTATATTAATAATTTTTTTTGTCTTTTTTTTTATCATTTTTTTTCATGTATTAAATGATATCGAAATAGATCGGTGTTCTCTACACGTGAATGAAACATACTTCCTAGTGTCGTTGTCTAGACTATGGAATTGAAGTTCATTCAATTGAAGCACTACAAAACCCTGTCACCTTAACTCAATCCTTCTAATATTGTCTATCATATGAATGATGATAGTAGTATTTTATTATCAACAAAGGGGAAATAAACATTAGTGGGTTCTTTTTAGTTTACTATATAGTATTAAATTCTCTCTTTTTTTCTCTTAAAATTTTGCAACTTTTGTTAGGTGAATGATTGTTCTTTTGCACATAAGTTGATGATAATTTTCTATTGAGAATTATTATCAAAAAAGCAAAACTTAATTAGCTGGGTTCCTACCCTTTTGATCACCCTCTAGAAAAATGTGATGAAAAGCTTCCAAAGCTAAAGTCAGAAAAGGGTTTGCTCCCCATGAGTTCACAAATGGACATTTTAGTCAATTTCAGAAATTCCTCTCAAACCCCACCCGCAAGTCTCAATCTGCCTGGCCAGGGCTCCAGGCTCGGGGTTCAGGGTCAGGCTCAGTCAGAGCCTGGCCATTCCAGGCAACCAGGCTCCTGCTTCCCTGCACGAAAAAGTGGCAAACAATGGTATCACAGGCAGTAACAATTTCACCTTCGGAAGATGGATCATGACATTTTTTACCTCCCCTGTTTGCGTTTTCCATCATTGCCCATTCTTCTCATGCTAAAAGCTACATGCCACGGGGAAAGAAAGAAGAGAAAAGTTTCACATTTATTTTATCACTAAAAAAATCAAAACAGCATAACAATTTGTCGGTTCCTTCATTGTTATTGTATTAAAAAGATTGATCATCTCCTTGTTAAATTTAAATCCCTTTACCCACCTTCAAGTTTGCTTAAGAACAAAAATTTCACTTCAAAATAGTAGTCTTTTAAGTTAAGATTCTATTCAAATGCCCAAAAATTTAGGGTGATGAATTACAATATCAAATAAATTTTGATCATAATTCAATCTAAATCTTTTAGAATTAAAAACGGGTACCTCACTTCAAAACTTATAAAGGGAAAGATAATTTACCCGTTGATACGATCGCATCCTATGTAGCATTGGTTGCCATATCAGTTACCATAGGACTTGTATGAAGATATGGATTGCCATATCAGTTACCACAGGACCGCGTCAATGGGGCTTAACCAATTCCAATTTCCAACACTGAAACGTGGTAAAAGCGTTTGTTAAAGTGAAAGGGAGGCAAGCAGGACATACGGGGAAAGGGAACAAGCTAAAGTAGAGGATCGAAACTCGAAAAGGGCAATGACAGAGAGCAAACACCACCTGAGAAGTGAGGAAATGTCAATGCCTCGCTTGCCTACCCTGAGCCAATCGTTTCATTGGTAGTGTTCTATTGATTTTCCTCGAAATTTTTACTACTAGCTTTTTTTTTTTTCTCATATTTGGCCGACACAACACCCTTCCCAGATAATAATAAAACACACTGTCTCTTCATTACTACTCTCAGGCTTCTAGCTTCAGGCTTCAAGCTTCGAATCTCTCTTTCTCTCTTTCCTCTGCCATCTTCTTTAATGGCGATGTATCCTACCACTGAGCCTTCCAACAACTACTGCGACTACCCTTTCTCCTTCTCCTCCTCGTTCTTCAACTGTGCTCTTGCGTCCATGGTTCTCTGCCATGTG